TTTAACTGTTATAAACAAAACATAAATTGGGTAAAATCCTTCAGGTATAAAAAGAGATTTGATGCCTAGATTTTGATATCACTATTAACTGTGCTGTTGATCTTCCCTGAGGCCATTTAATTTACAGAATAAAGTACTTTTATTTTAAACTTGAACAGGTGATGTCTTTGAAAATATAATAAATTCCGTTTTCTTTAGACCTGATGAACTTATCTTATGCCAAGAGGAAAGTCGAAAAAAGAGAAAATTATTTATTTTGTAATCTTACCTTGCAAAGATTTAACCTCCTGGCTTCTTAACTGATATTGTCATTTTGTAGTAGAGGTGGCAATTTGTTCCTTGCTGCTGATGCGACGTTACAATTTGTGAAAAATTACTTTTGTCGTCTTCTTCGTCATTAACCTGTCATTTCTGCAAGATATTTGATTGCAATCAAGATTCATGGGTATTCATTGGTGGTGTGTCTAAACTTTGCACTTGTGTATGTTATAATTATTTACTTTTTAGTTGTCAGTTATTTCGATTCAAGTTCTGCTGTTAAGTTTACCTCATATTTCAATCAAAAGGAAAAGGAGAACATAAAGATGGACAATCTTAAAAAAATTTTCTTGTCTTCAACAATTTTAAAGTATAGTATTGACAAAGTAATACATATATGCAACGCAGAAGTCATCAAAGGGATGGAGCCATCCATTTTCGAAAAATAATAATAATAATAATAATTGACGGACAAAAGCAAATATAAAGTCTGCATTTTTCAGGAACGGACGGAGGATTTTGTGATAAAGGGCGCCTAAAGATATAGTATACAGTGGCAACTTGGGCGCGACATAGCGCCTATCAGGACTGTGGATGGCGCACTTTTCTAGGGAGTTTTGGGCGCATGCTCCTACGGAAAAAGTTTTGAGATTGAATTTCTCTGAGATGTAATCTAGTGCATTCTGGACGCTTAAATTTAGCAAATTCCTGGTTTCATATTGAACATGTAACGCTGACGTATTTAATAAACCACAGGTGTGGTTGTAGCCAAAGAAGTAACTAACACTTTATGATACTATAGCGGGGGCCGAAGTGATTGCGGCGAGAGCACAACCTCCCGGCAAAGGCGGTAACGTTGTCTCCCCGAAAAATTGTCAAATTTAGTTTGTTTGAGACGGATATTAACTGCACGCTTTCTAGTAGAATTGGTAATTTGCGAATAAAAATGTAGGCTTCCAACACAGATACTTTCAGTTGTTAATAACGTTTGTTAAAGAAATATATTCAAGTAACGAAGCTCGAAGTACCATCCGAAACCGCATCAACCGCAACCGCGGTAAAGGTGGCCAGAACCAGCTTATATGCGTGTTGGTTATGTTTTTAAAACGCGTTGATTTTTGGCATCCTTAATATGGAATGGTGGAACTTTAAGAAAAAAACGTTTGAGATATCTGCATATACTGTTCCAAAAAATTTAAACTGAACTTCGAAATCCTAAAACATATCTTCCCTCACGTCAGTAAGTTAGCCTCAGAGCTCTCCTGTTGTTTATCTGCTGCAATTTTGAAGTCAATCGTAGCCTGTTGGCAAGCTCTCCAATTTGGGCGAGCAAAGCGATCCACGCGAGAAAGGGGGAAAGACTCGCGGAGCCGCGAGGGGCGGAGGAAAAGGAGAGATCTCCATTTCTTTCCCCACCTTCGCACTCGCGACTTCCTCAGATGGAGAGCTTGTTCACAGGCTAAGTCAATCGTGACCATATAACGTGCTGCACAAAATACTGGTCTAATTTAACCTTAAAATGCTACGCTTAAACATTTGTGAAAGTTGACGCACAAATAGAGGAAGACTGCTGGCGAATTATATCCTATCTGAATGGGTATAACCCAAAGCAAGAAAGAAAGTAATCAGAAATTTACGGCGAATGGCAATAGTTAGCACTACAAGAAGAACAACTTTAATGCTCCTGAATGTAAGGTGAGATTAAAGAACTTCTATTCATTGCAAACTTGTCCCTCTCTTTTCGAAACTAATACTACACGGGAAACCTCGGCGTTTGCTTGGAACTCAAACTCGCTGTACATGTTAATTCAATAAAACGTATTTTAACCGCTGTTTTAAGGCCAGGAATCTTGCCATTATATCTTCAGCTTTTACACGGCGAAAAAGATGTCAGAGGAGCTCATTCACTATTACCCTTTAAGTTTAATCGAGAAAACAGGGGAATAGTGTTGGAAAAAAAAAACAAAAGAAATGGTTAGAGGCTTTTTTTATGGTTTTTGTTTCTGTTTTTTGCTTTATCACAATCTTCTGACACAGGCGGCTCGAACAAAAGATATCAGAGTATTCTCAACAGACCGAGTCCAACGTATGACCATCTGCTTCTAGTCCAAATGCTCACGTCCATAATATTCGCTTGAGATTAGAAAACACTCTTTCATAATACTTAATGGTTTTTCAAAGGAATAGAAACCAAACGTTTTCGACGAATTAAGTCATCTTCTCAGTGGTGAAAATCGTTCGGTTTCCAAATAGACCTTGGGCCCTTGTGAAATACTATTTAAAAAATGGTCTGATCAATTTAATTTATACGTGAGTTTGCTGCAAAAGAGAATCTTAACCTGACGTTTCGAGAACTCGCTTTTTATTCAAACGAATCGGCTAAATTGTTGTGCTTCATTCCCAGCTACTCATCCAAAAACAAAGGGGGAAAATTGGAAGTTCACTCATAAAAACAACAGCCATCCTTTAATGCAGACTTTCGCTTGGCTAATACAACTACACTGCTTGCTCATTTTGATGTGTACTGGATTTTCTTTTAATGGTTTCCTTGAAAGCAGTTGTGTAGTTTGAGCTTTGAAATGCGTAACATATAGGATTTACACAGCAACTACAGTAAACCAAAAAGAACGAAATTCTATAAAATGAACTTCTTAACGAGGCATCCAAGACAGTTGCCGTAACATAAGGAAAAAAACAGGCGATAAAGATAATAGTTATGGTAATGGAAAGTTTGGCAATTTTTCTCTTTGCCTGGATTTCTTCAGCGGCTTGTGAAGATAGTGTTGAGGTTTCTGCGCAGATTTTCTTTGTAAAGTATAGTCCTCTGATGATATTGAAATAGCAGAAGCAAACAACGAAAAACGCAATAACTACGATCATTGCAAGTAACGACCAGTATACAGTAGAAGATGCTTTTTGCCAATGGAACACACATTGACCGCGTACCTCGTCAAACCGTTCAACTACAAAGAGTGGCAACACATAGATGAAGCCAAATATCCACATGATGACGACCGGATATCGCACGTTTTCTTTGTTGAGTCTTACGCTGGCATTCAGAGGATTCAAGAGAGCGTTATATCGCTCGACAGAAACTAAAGTTAACGTAAGACCGGCGACAAGAAGCGATATTCCAGCCAGATGATTCATGGTAATAAATTTGCAAAAGATGTCACCGAGAATACCGTCTGGGTGCCTAGAATATTGTAATGCGACTCCAGGGATACACCATAACAAGGTTAACAAGTCTGCGAAAGCAAGATTGGCGAGCAGAAAGTTCGTGGTTGTGTGCATATAACGCTTATTCTTCACAACTGTTAAAATAAGGGAATTTCCAATCAGCCCAGCAACCACAACAATTGCGTAGCCGGGTAACAAGACTAAATCCAAAGAATCGAGAGTGGATAGTATCATCTCTGTAACCGGTTATATCGTCTCTTGAAAATCAGGGTACATAGGAACTGGGCAATGAATCTTCAACTAATGCTCTCGTTGAAGGTTCCAATCGTTATTATTTTGCCTGAATGTTTGTTTTCCACAACAGCTGAATATCCTTAAGGCTGTGAAGATAATTGCTTTTGATTTCCTTTCTTTGGCGCTAAAACTCATATCATCTTAATGAGATTTTAGTCATAAACGTAAGACTTTGCATTAAAAGTGTTTGCTCATATGGGCAGATCTGTTTTCTTTGTCTGATGAGAAGTGATGAGTACTTGAAAGAGTTCAATAAATTGGACACAGCGGTTAGCAGATTATTTGCAACTCTTGCCAAACTTGAAAATTAAAAACTGAAACTAGAGTAAACAATTTTATGACCGTGTCATTAAAAAAAGTCCGAATAAATGCCGGGCCGGCTTATAAGATAAAACGTTTTGAGTCAATTTTAGCACGATTTTGGGGTAGGGAAACGTTACGATTTTTTCTTTAAATATCATTTTGATCAACACTGCTTTCATTGTCATCGGGAGAAATGGCTATTATTCTCGTAACATTTACTTACAGTCGGTGGAAGCTTCAAAGTCTGTCATATCGCTTATTGAAAGTTAAAAATATATGACAATCATATATGTGAACTGCAGCGTACTAATTTAACGACCTGTTCCCAGATGTCTTGTTACCTTAATTAGTAGAGCGTTGCACCGGTATCGCAGAGCCCAGGAGATCGAATCCTGTACAAGCCTGAATCTTTTTTACGCTTTCTTTTGGCAACTGCAAAAGTTGCGTATAGAACTGCGGTGATCATCCGTCATATAATATCGCTTATTGTTATTCTAAAATGCTGAAAAGGAGACTTTTCATTGATTACCATGAACGCCCGTTAGTACTCTTCATCGTGGAGTAGGCGGGTTAAACCATAGTTAATTGAGTGGAATGGTTATGAAACCCGTCAGACTCCTTTGTTATATGTTTTTGTGGACCTGAAAGTGCACAGCGTTCAAAAGAATTCCTATCATTTTGATTTTATTGACCAATAAAAACGTTGCATTAATTTATTCCGTAACAATTTGCCAACAGAAAACAAAGGATTGTGCACTTTCAGGGTGCTTCCAACATAAACTGCAGCACTGTTGTTTTTATCATTGATGTTTGCCGCTTTTCATAA